TGATAGAAGAGACACGGTGATGAGGAGGAGGTGGAGAACCGGGCGGAGAATAAGGCAGACGAATGTCGTCACTATTCGAACACGAGAAAATAAATAAATCATCACTACTATCAGTCGCATCAGTTTTTTCATCGTTCACGAACGAATCGAGTCCGCATTCTATCGTCTTCGAATGGAAACCGGGACGCGTGGCGGTGTTGTCCGGCGATGATCCATTTCTTGGGGATACTTGACCATTTCGCTGTGTTATCATGATTTTACAACAATTTTGCCTCGTTAGCGTCACATTTTTCAATGGCCAATTTCTACGTTCATTGTGGTAAACGAGCGGTGTTCTGAGCGAAAGTTTATTATTGATTAATTGGATCTTAGTTTCTTCTATTTTTTTCCATTGCGAGCAAAGTTGGATGAAATAAGGGAGTTTTCTTCTGTAAGGTCGTGTTCGTTTGAAAGAACTACCATAGAATCACGACTGATAGAATGAAAAGTAAATTAAGTTTTCTATTAAATACCGTTACACTGTCCAAACTAACGCAACCTTAAGGAGGTAAAATTGTACACAAGTGTGCGCGACTCAAAACCATTTCTTCCCGCGTTCTTGATAAGAGAAAGAAGCATTGAGAGCAGAAAGAAGTGTTCTCGAGCTAGTAAAGTCTCAGCGCGAATTTATTCGTGGAGACTATAGCACTCTGAGCTTTGTGTCGGTCGATTATAGTTCACTATAGCGTCGAAAGGGTTAACGACACCGGGAAATGGGCTCTTCGCGGCACGAAAAAACGCACGCGCCGCCGTTTCCACTAGTATTCCCCTCGTCTTTCTTATTCGAATTCATCCTACACAGGACCAAGTTCCCTGCCTCACGAACAGCGAACAAAAAAAAGAGAGAGATAGAGAGAAAGAGAGAGAGAAAGAGAGAGAGAGAGAGAAAAAGAGAACTCAATCACACACGCAAATCTCGCGACGTACGATCCGACCGGCGGGACACGAGCGAAGAAACTCCAGGAACGGGGAGAATCGTGAGAAAATCATCGCAAGGGGAAACATTAGTCCCGCGAGTTTCCTCGTGATCAACGAAGATCCAGTCTTGAGTTGGTGTCCGGTCGGTCCGATCTCCGACGTTACTACACAGGGTAAATCGAGTAAATAAACGAAGAAGAAGAAGAAGATGAAGATGAGTAAAAAAAAAGACGGTGAAAGGTAATCCCAGATGAGAGAGAGGGAGAGAAAGAGAAGAACGACAGAGGTATAGCGAATTTGAAGTATCTAGACAGTTTAAATAAATAAATCGTAAAATAAAGATGAAGTATTTCCTATAATATAGTAAGCGGAGGCGGAAGTCGGGTGAACCGCGCGGACGACAGTCGCGACGGGGTGTTTTCGTCGCGTCGCGGGGTGTCGGTGGGCGGACAAACGGTACATCGGTAGCAGGGAAATTGGATTTTTAGCGAATGAAATCTTCTGATCCAGGGTAAAATAATCCGAAGCTCGGTTTCTAGGGGCGGCATCACTCGGTTTTTATTTAAGAGAAAAAAGATACAACAAATTTTGAAGGGGCTGGGAGAGCGAGATGGGAGGGACGAAGAGACGAAAGGGAACGGAGAGAAAGAAAAACCTGGCGTTCGGAGCACTTTTAAAACCGAGGATCGACATTAAGGCAATACGAAAACGCTGGCGTCTTCGGGCAAAGCTCGGCCAAAGCCGGCGACCCGCCTTTGGCCAGCTTTTCCACGGGGAAGTCCCTAATTATAAACATAGCAGATACGGTGTATGTCTTGTGCGATTCAAATAAACCACATTGTTTTTAAATAATCGATGTCGATCGAATCATTTCACCCCTCATTGATCTCCTTGTTAATCGATTATCCTACAACTGCGAATTATTGTTTTATGTTATTTTATATAGTGAAGCTGATAAATTATTTTTTGATGTTGTTTTTTTGTAAATAAATGATACTCAATAGTTATGTTGTCTTTTTTCTTGTTGTTGTTGTCGCTGTAGTTTCTTTTGTAGTTTTTAGTGTAATGAACGAGAGGATAATCGATCCTCGACGGCAACTGATTGATTACTCGAAGAGCGAAAGGAACGATCGACCTTCCGGCGATCTTCGATACGCCTCCGCCGGCTATAGAAAGCCTGTTACATAAATTGTTTAAATCGTTCCGGGGCATTACTATTCGACGCTTATTACGTTTATTGCGTAATCCATTTCGCAACTCGCATCGCGTGCACCGAACGCGTTTCGTTTTCCGATAACGGTATTATCTCGTGAAGTCGCCAATTTGCTGTTGCCCGCGGACTTTCCGCTTTTTTCCGTAAATTATTTGTTTAATTGGTTGGATTAATTGCATCCGCGTTTTTGGCAGTATGCCACGCCATCTTGCGATGAACACTCGCATTACGGATCGAAACTCAGGTAAGCATAGTCAGCGTTAACTTGATACTCTAGTGCATGCATGGTTGCGACCTGAAGGGGTGCGTCATCGACTATGTACACAGTACTGTTTCGTTACGTTTTTAGTACTTTTACGGTACCATTTTTATATAACAATAGTTCAGTATTAAAAAGAATAAATAAAAAATATTACAGTATATTATTCATTGGTTAATAGATTTAATATTTTTCTGTAACTGACTGTGTCATAATGAAGGATATAAAAGCTTAAAGTTCCATTCACACAGTTTTCCTTGAAAAAAAATATCACTGAATATCAAACAATCGATTATGTATTTTTAAATGGAAATGTATTGCAATATTATTTTATTTCTGAAAATAACTGAGTCTATTTTGAAAGACTCGATAAGTATGGAAGAGAAATATAAAAGATTTAAGTAAACTTATGTATGCAAATAGAACTATTGGTACCCTATCATTTTATACAAAATTATCCTGTAACTTAGAAATATGAAAAATTTTGATTGTACAAAAATCTGTCGAACAGAGACAATAGCTTACAAACATTATGAAAAATAAATATCTACACTCTTGCAGAAACCATTCCAATTATTTTCTAAGGAATAAATACTAAAGACACTTACCAACATTTAAGAAATAAAAAGATCATAAAAACATTATCCATACTATTTTTCAAACTTCTAATAATACAACTACAATCTACAACTACAATCTACAATCCAGTCACAAAAAAATGCCCACGAAATTGGAAAACACGTATCTTATCCACTTCAAAACTCTCCGCCCCACAAAAATAGTCCAACCAAAAACCCCCGCAAAAGTATTCAGCGTAGAATCTATACGAACGCTGATCAACCTCGAAACAACAAATTACACAGGTGTACCACGGAATCCGCAATTTTTATTCCCGAGAACAACAGGCGTCGTAAACGCGCGGTCGCGTTCCGCGGCGCTCGTACATCTCCGCGGGCCGTCAAACCCAAAATTACACGTCATAAAGTTCGAAATCCGGCAGTAACGCCCGGGACAATCCGTCGTCGGCGGCTTGTAATCGAAAGCCGGGCGAGGGAAGGCTCTCTCTTCTGAATACGCGGGGGCGCGCGTCTCCCTGTTTCGCGGTAATCGACTCGTCGCCCGGCGCGGAGCGGCGACTGGCGAACAGAGCCGCCCGCCCCGGCACCGTGCGCCGGGTAGCTCAAAGTTAAGACAATGCCGTTAATTTTTGGTCGGCCCCATTGTTCCCCGGGGCACATTCATCTGTCAACCGGCACCGACTTCTGCCACGTTCCGCAGCGAGAACGGCCGCGATTCGACGATAGATCATCCGCCATCGTTGCCTTGGCTGTCCACTCAACACCCTTCCGCCGAGCTGTAGGTTTTGCTACCCTTCATTCAATATGCACAAGAAACGAGGAAAAAAATAAAGCAGAGAAATCGATGAGAGATTGTAAGAAGAAAAACGATGATATCCCGGGCCGACGGTCAATAATTCCGCCGCCGGTTTCCCGGACGTTTGAATGCGTGTTAACTATGGTGACGTCACCACAATGGCGGACACTAATCTCCACGTCAGAAGCAGAGGTGTCCCCGTGCTAGCTCGCTACCCTCCCCCAACCCAATCCTTTCCCGCACGCCGCTTTCGTCCCTGATCTGTC